GTTCACTTTTTCAAACATTTAAAAGTTGATACTTTATCACCACAAAGCATTCAAATAATTATGAGGATCATCTCTAGGAGAAAAATAAATTCACATGACACACTAGTGATCTTCAAAAATTACATTCAAGAGACTAGTCTCCCTAGAACGAAGAGTTTCTATTTATCACCTCAATTCCTTACATGTTTAATTTTATTTTTGAGCCCAGGTCTCGCTGAGTGGTCCTAGCTGGCCTAGAAGTCACAGACCCATCTGCCTCTGCCCCACAAGGTTTAGGATTAAGGCACATGTCACCAAGCAAGGCCATATTTATGCTCTTTACATAACATCTACACAATATATCACAAGCTGAGTGGTAAGTAAAAAAAAAAATGTCTTCTAGATCTCAAATAAATATACTGTGTTCATAGTATGTTTCTTTTTAACATTGTCTGGACCTTCTCTCCTTGTTTCAATTTCTTTATCGAGGCTTATTTGTTTATTGTTTCAAGTCACAAAAATATGAAGTGGAATTCCAGTTGATTATGACAAGCTAATACGTGGAAGAAGCCAAGGGCCTTCCAGAAGTCAGGCTGAGGCTCAAGGAGCCTTGGTGATATTTGACATTTGATTATCAGCCTTTTCCTACTATGAATTTCTCCTGCGCTATTGTAGCTTTTCCATCATTTACTAGGCACCATTTCCCCTCTCCTAAAGGAATATTTAGATAATTTTCTGTACAGTAATGCAGCTAGGTTCCCTAATTTCATGGCTTCTGTAATTATCATCATTAGCAGCATCTGGTCAGGACCATCCCCGGATGGACGAAAGTATCTTACCTGAGATACCTCACAGATTCTCTAAGAACAGACTTAAGCACCTAGACTATCTGTTTGAGAAGGCCTGGCAGATGTGCTAATTAAGCTTAACTTTCTCCTTTCCAGATCTTATCTCTAGTTTTGGATCCACCTTTAACAATTAACTCAGACTAAAGGATTCCAACTTACAAGTACATCTCTAGCTGTGGTGGAAGTTGCCTAGCCAAGTTGCCTAGTGACCCCAGAACTTGTCAGAAATGGTGGGAGCAGAGATAGCTTGGAGAGATAAGGGTCAAAGGGATAAAAAGGAAGTTTTATTTTCAGAGAAGGACTAGATGGAGAAGAGAAAAGAGAATAGAAGAACTCGATGGGTAAGAACTGGAGAAGAATGACATGGAATGGGGAAGAACTAGATTGAAGGGCTAGAAGAGAGTACTAGAGGAACGAGATGGAAGATGAGGAAGAGTCAGATATGGAAGAACAAGATGAGGAAGAACAAGATGAGAAAGAAGGAGATGGGAGAGGAGCTAAGATGGGAAGGAACTAGTTGGATGAGAATTTAGATGGGGTGGAACTAAGATGAGAGAATTAAGATATAACTTAGAGGGAACAGCAGATAAATGTATAGAGAAATCAGGCAAAAAAGCAGCTAGGCATGAGAGCAGAATAGAAGCTGTGTAGATAAGAGTTTATCCCAGAGAAATAAAGTAGATGGATGAAAGAGCTCAGTGTATTTAGAATCTTTTCCAAAAAATAATTTGTGCCATTTGTAACTTCTTTTCTGGGCCCCTGGGAAGATTATTAAGGCTGGACCATAACAATTTTTGAGAGTTTATGTTTGTGTTGTGTATGCCTGAACGTATGCACCTGCATGACTAGTTCTCCCAGAGGACAGAAGAGGGATCAGACCCCTTTCAGTCACAGATTCACAGATATAGGCATGTGAGACAACCATGCTGTGTGGTGGGAACCAGGCACAGGTCGTCTGCAAGAGCAGCACAGTCTGGACAGCCGAGCCTTCTCTACAGGCACTGCAGGTTTCTGAAGCTGGTGAGCCAGTACCCTTGGAAGATGGTTTACTTAATTTTCTTTTCTAACAATAAAAACATGGCAGCCAAAGCCACCCACTCAATGCACCCTTAGAACAGCAGGAGTCACTATAGATGTGTCATGGTTGTCATGGCTGTCGCAAATAAACATGAGCTTATGCTTTGAAATTGCCAGATACTCTATGTGCTGAAATGTGACGATAATTGACCCCAGCAGGGTGATCTTGGAAGGGAAAGCCATCTTCAGTCACCTGTCACCTACTGCCTTCAGTCTCTTTAGCCATTGTTGATAAGTTGTGACAACCTATACCACACGCACCTCTAATCCATCCAGGGGCTGTCACTGAATGGCCGACCCCTTCTGTAATCAGCATTAGCACGTGACTCCACCTGCTATTTTCCAAGGTGAGGTAGAAGTGAGTAGCCCTGGGACACTAGATCACCTGAGCCATAAATCATACAGTGAGCCAGACTGAACCTGCCAGTCAAGTGTTCATGTGGCTTTAAAGAATCCTCAGTGGAAGGCCTGCAGGCAGGACACAGGATAAAATTCCTCCACAGAGCAGTGGAGCACAGCAGTAAAGCAGCTGGACAGGGATTCTTCATGCCATTGCCACTGCTGCTGGCTGCTGCTTCAGCACCATCACAGATGCCAGACAGGGTGTCAAAAAGTGGACCGTGGACTTGGGGGCAAAGGCCAGGGTGCCATAGTCCCATATGGACTCCAGGACAAAGACTGATACTGATGGTCCAAAATGCTGGGGTGGCAGAGGCTGCACGTACTTGGCCATTTGCTCTTTTGAGACAGGGTCTCCCTTACAATCCAGGTTTGCCTAAATCTCTCAGTGGTCTCCCTGCAACAGTGTCCTCAGTGCATAGTACAGTTGCATGCCACACCTAGCTTCTGTTTATTTCATTAATAAATGTGAAGAATTAATAGGAGTCAGGCAAGGTGGTGCAGGCCTTTGATCTTAGCACTCTGCAGCAGAGGCAAACTGATCTTCATGTTCTCGAGGCTAGCCAGGTCTGCATAGTGAGTTCCCCACCAACCAAGGCTACAGAGTGAGGCTCTGACAAAGAAAATAAAACAATAGGAACATGTTGTAAAAATGCTTTTTTTTTTTTTTTTTTTTTGGTTTTTCGAGACGGGGTTTCTCTGTGTAGCTTTGTGCCTTTTCCTGGAACTCACTTGGTAGTCCAGGCTGGCCTCGAACTCACAGAGATCCACCTGGCTCTGCCTCCCGGAGTGCTGGGATTAAAGGCATGCGCCACCACCGCCCGGCTAAAATGCTTATTCTTAATGTGGCTTACTTTTTACTAATGATGCAGAACTGAGAAAAATGAATCTGTAGACTCATGTATCAAGTGGGCAGTAAAATATGTATAATTAAGTCATATTACAAGGCTGTATAGTAAATATGGAATTATTAAGTAAGAACTAATGTTACTGAATGTCACGGCATGAGTGTGTGGGTTCATTCGGGTCCATGGAATGAAGACTCAGAGGCATCTTAAGAATGAATCTAGCCTTTCATGGCTGCAGAGGTGTCCAGCCTTGAAAGACTGAAGCACTTTCCCTTCACCTAGGGTATATTTATTTATTCTTTTTTACACTTTAGCCAGTTAATTTCCCTTCCTTCAAAACAACCTAAAAGGAGCTCCCAGAGACCAATACCAAATGTAAATTCCTTGATTTCTCAGGTACCATGGTCTTCCTGGGTTTCCTGAACCAAATTTTGCATAGGCCTTTGATTCCTGGGAGACTCTCTGATCCTTGACTCTCAAACAGGATTCACATAGGGCAATAAGAGAAACTAAAGGTGTGGTTAAACAAAGGAAGGATTAGAGCTAGGTGCTACTCTCTGGAACCAGGCCAGGAGCTTAGCAGGAATGCACTACAAACTAATTTTGACCGCATAGGGTTTAGTTGACTAATACCCTGTATATACATTGATTGGCCTTTTCTACAGAATAATAGTTTAAGAGATTGCATATTTCTGGTGCATTTTTAATAAACTTTCTTTTTTACAAAAATGAAGATATTACGTTTTCCACAGCTGGCCTGATGTATGGCCGTCCCTGAAACTGACAGGTTTCCTTTGTCCTTTCTCAGTTTCATAGTGAACCCGACTAGTGTCCCCAAAATGAGTCTTCAACTCCCAAGAAGCTAGACAAAGTTGAGGTCTGACTCAGCAGGTGCCTGGTGATAAGTTTTAAATCCTCAGTTGCTGGGTTCCTCTGCTGCCCATGTAATAAGCCAATCCAGCCAAATTAATAAATCCAGGTTTAAAGAACAGAGCAAAGCAATCCTGGGTGACCCTTGGAAAGGCAGGGGAAGTCACAGGGCAAATATGGCTGCCAGGCCTTAAATAACTTGTAGGCATGGTCTTGAGTATTCCCATGGAGGGGCTGGCTTTTGGTGGCCTTTGAGGGGGTGGGGGTAACAGAAGGGCAACTCTAGGGGGGAGGGAGCTTCTGTTTGGGGAGCTTTGAGGGGGCGGGGCTGAGGAGAGAGAGGGGAGGCTTCCACCTGATCACCCCAGACTCTTTAGGTATATGCTATGGATGACAGGGACTGAGGAGGAGCTTCTACCAGAGCGCCTGGTCCCTGCAAAGGATCAAGGTACCACAATTTTCTCTCTAGCTGGGATAGGGGGAGCCCCTCACCCCACGCTGCAGGCTGCCTTGGCACTACGAAGGGTTTGGTGGCAGGGTTGGTCTTGCCAGACCAGACACTTACTCTGGCCCTAACACCTGAGGTCAGATACTTTCTCATAAAATGGCTTCAGTACGTTGACTAGGTTCCTCAGCTGTCTGCCCTCGGTTTGAGACCTAACATCCTGTGCCCAGGAGGAAGAAGGGGGCGTGCCTACTGAGTGCAGGAAAGGAGCTGGGACTTTGCAGTCCAGGCGTGAGTGCGGCTGTTGCCAATCTCTGCAGGTCTGGGGCAGCTCTGGGCCTAGGGTGGAAGCCAGGGCCGGGCATCATGGGGCTGCCTCTCTTCACAGCACTCTGTCCCCAAAGGAGCTGCTCCCATCACTCAGGCATCACTAGCCAATCATGGCCTCCAGCCGGACTGCCAGTCAGAATGGGGCGGGCACTTCCAGTCTGCCATGCTGCAGGCTCCAGGCTCTGGGTTGAGGGAGCCGCTGGTGTTCCATGTCCTGCGCTGTGACCTGCGGCCGGGAGCTGCGAGGAGAGCGGGGCGAGCTCGGAATCGGCCATGGTGAGTGAGCGGCCGCCGTCCCCACCCGGGGAGGAGGCTGGGGAGCCGGGTGGGGTCCTCACGGGGCGTGGGAACCGGCGCCCTGACGCCGTGCCCGGTGGGGTCCCGTGAGTCCCGTGAGGTCCTCAGTGTTCCCGCAACTCCCGGGTCCTGTGGCCTCTGAATAAGTTGCCTCTGTGGATCGCGCCTGCGCCTGCGCAGAACACGGGGATGGGGTATGCTGTGTGTGGATAGTGCCTTATTGTGACGTCACCATGCAAAGCAAGTGCGTGCGCCGCTAGCCTAGTCGCCCGGGAAGGCAGATTGGTAACTGACAGGGCCCTGGTCACTCTGGTGTCTTCTGGAAGTTCTGCACTTGGCACTGAACATTCAAGTGTAGATCCGTCTGCAGTTAACTCTGTGCAGGGCGTAATGTCTGCGTCATTAACACATCTGCATGTGGATGCCAGGGTGGTCCAGTCACGTGTGTCAGCAAGGCCAGACTTACAGGGTTTCCTGGCCTCGTGTGTCACATTGACTCTATATTAATTGAGTCTTTATTTCTAAGTTTGCCCTTAAGTTCTGTTGATCTCTTGATTCTTTCCCACACGGTACACTCTTCATTGCAGTTGTGTGCGAAGATTTGAAGTCACATGATTTCACTGTGTGTACTATTTACTCAGCCTTGTGTTGATAATTTTTTCATTCATGGTTACCTTTAGTCATCAGTTTTCTGTTGTTGATAGGAAAAAAATTAGACTTTTTATTGTACTGATATTTAATCTATAACTGACATTCTGTACTGGCACAATATTGAGACTTCCTGTCTACGCTGTGGAATTTCTCTCCTTTGTTTGAATTCCTTGATTATTTTAATTGTAAAATTACTGTTTGGGCTACGGATATTTGCTAAATTTCTTTGTATTTCTGGCTGTTTAATCTATGGTGACATATGAGAGATATGGAAGTAGTATTTTTAATTTACTAAATGTATTTATTTCATGTGCATGAGTGATTTATTTGCCTATATATGTGGTCACCCTGTGTGTGTGGTGCCCACAGAAGACAGAAGGAGGCATCCGATCGCCTGCAACAGGATGCAGGGATGATTGTGTGCCACCAGGTTAGTGCTGGGAACCAAACCCAGGACTTCTGCAAGAGCAACAAGTGTCTTAACTGCTGAGCCATCTCTCCAGTCCTATACATGACCGATTTTCAAAACTTTATGTGTGTGTGCTCATGTACCCGCTGAAAAGCCAGTGTTAAGAGAGTTGAGGTTTGCTTAACAATCTGTCTTTGGGGCCTGGGAGATGACTCAGGAGGTATGCTGGTTAGCTTTGGTCAGCTTGACACAAGCTAGAGTCAGACTGGCCTGTAGGCAAACTTATGGGGTATTTTCTTGATTAGTGGTTGATGGGGCCCATCCCACTGTGGTTGGTGCCACCCTGGGCAGGTGGTCCTGAGTTCTATAAGGGTCAAACTGAGCAAGCCATGCTAGCAGGAGGGCAGTAAACGGCATTGCTCCGGGTTGAGAGCATATGTGGAATGCATAAGCCTATGGTGTATCTGAGTTAGCAAATCTGTTCCTGGCCAGCTCCTCTTTGTGTGTTAGGGAGAGCTGAAGGCTTGTAATTACTGAAGAGAATGTTCTTTGTTAAGGTCTAATAGCGTGCTCTAAGGTTGCCTGGATCCCAGTGTGTAGCCCCACAATCCATGGACGTTACTGTCCCCCTAAATCCACTCCTCAATTCTTGGATTAAAGGTTTTTGGCACCTCACAGTGCAAAATCTACCCATTTGAGTCACAGAGTGGGCTGTCCATTTCAGTAACAGGAAACTTGTTTGTTTTTGGAGCATGGTCTGGTCTCCACTGAGGCCAGAATAGAGGGAATAGTTTATTGTATACATCACAGGGGAAACAGACTAGGCAATGGTTTGGATTACAAGTTGTCTGATATTAAGACAGTGAGCTGCAGGGGTTTCAGAAGAAGAATCTGATGGGACAGGGCGAGCGCCTTTCTGTGTATTTCCCAGTCTGTTAATTCATTCATGTGAATGAAGGAAAACCAAATTGGTGTGTGTACAGTTTGTGGATGTTACTTTGAGCCACTGAAATTTCTGATAGGACAACTCTCTCCTGTTGGTAAGTGCAATCCTGGTTGTCTCACTTCAGTCAAGTGAGAACTGAGACACAGGGCATCTGGCTGTGGCTTGTGTGTCAGCGTCCATCAGTCAGCAGCCAACATTTTACACCGAGAAGATCATACAGTCAGTTATTTATGACATTCCCTCTACCAGGACAGGACCTACTCTTTCTCAGTCAGTATAGGTAGGTGTTTTTAAGGTTTATTTTTACCTCTTTTAAACACTGGTTGTTGGAATCTGTGTTAGTGTCCATTGCTGTAAAGAGACACCATGACCATGGCAACTGTTATAAAGGGAAGCATTTAATTGGGGCTGGCTTACATTTTCAGAGGTTTAATTCATTGTCATAAATAATGGTGAGGGACATGGTGGCATGCAGGCAGACATGGTCCTGGAGAGGTGCTTGAGAGTTCTACATTTGGATCCGCAGGCAGCAAGAAGAGAGAAGGCCACTGGGCCAGGTTTGGGCCCTTGAAACCTCAGAGCCCACCTGCAATGACACACTTCCTCCAACAAGACCACACCACCTAGTCCCTCTCAAACAGTGCCACTCCCTGATGACTAAGTACTTAGGGCATATGGGGCCATTCTCATTCAAACACAACAGTGTCACTTCTGTTCTCCACTGACTCCCTGTGGTGATATTGTGTTCCCCAAAATATTGTGCATGTTAATAAACTTATCTGGGATCAGAGAACAGAACAGCCACTAGATACAGAGGTCAGAAAATAGTGGCACTCACATCTTTAATCCTATCACTTGGGAGCCAGAAATCCATCCGGATCTCCGTGAGTTCAAAGCCACACTGGAAACAGCCAGGCATGGTGACTCACGCCTTTAATCCCAGGAATTGATGGTCAGAAGCAGAGAGGTATATTAGGAGTGAAAACCAGGAACTAGAGCCTGGTTAAGCTTTTAGGCTTTTGAGCAGCAGTTCAGCTGAGATCCATTTGGATGAGGACTCAGAGGATTCCAGTCTGAGGAAACAGGATCAGCTGAAGAAATGGTGAGGTGAGGTGTCTGTGGCCTGTTCTGCTTCTCTGATCTTCCAGCGTCCACCCCAATACCTGGCTCCAGGTTTGTTTTTATTAATACGACTTTTTAAGATTCGTGCTACAACGCCCAGTTATTAAGAACTTTATTCCTGATGGTGGCGGCACATGCCTTTAGTCCCAGCACTCCAGAGGCAGTGGTAGGCGGATCTCTGGGTTTGAGGCCATTCTGGTTTAAGAGTGAGTTCTAGGACAGCCAGGGATACACTGAGAAACCCTGTCTTAAACATCCCAGAAAAAGAAAAGACTTGATTTGATGTTTCTCAAGTGGTTATTCATGTATTTATTTTGAGAGAAATGTGCCATGTAGCCCAGGCTTGCCTGATACTATGTCCTTGAGAATTGCCTTGGACATGTAAACCTGCCCCTGCCACCCAGGCCTGAGATACAGATATGCAGGTCAGTGAGAAGGAAAAAGACAAGGGAATGAGTGTCCTCACGGAGCCCAGGCTTTTATTAGGGGTTGCTGATGCAGAAGAACCAGTGCAGGAATCTGAGTCCATTGCCTACCTGCAGGCTGGTGTAGTCACAGCAGAGAAAAGGATGAGGTTGAAAGGATTCCTGTTTTGTCTGCAGTTGAAATTGCCAGGGAGCAGTTAGGAAATCTGTTTTAGGTGATTGATAAATGTCCTGATCAATGTTTATTTGAGTTCCACAGACCGGGGCAACCAAGATTTTGGATAAAGAAGTGAATTTCTTTCTAGAAACCAAATTGCCGTAGTTACACTAGTTCAACCAGAACAGAAGAGCTGGACTAATGGCTGTGGTCCTGCCTAACTGGCCTGTTATTTTGCTGGCTGAAAATGTACAGCCCAAGAGAAAGGGTTTGGGTGATCCTTGGTGTGCTCCAACATAAATTGTTAGTTCCCTAGCATGGGGCCCTAAAGCCTGTTTCAGTGTTCTCAGGAAATTTCTCAGGACTGTAATTCCATCATTTGGCCTCTCCCTTCCCTGCTCCCAGCCCCCCATAAATCATTCCTTGTCTTCAAGTTCATGGCCTCCTTTTGCTTTCTTGTTCCTATTTAAATTTGACCTATAGCTTTTTAAATAACTTATTTAACTTTTTTTAAAAAAACTTTTAAACTTTATTTATGTGCATTGGCATCAGGGCCCCTGGAACTGGAGTTACAGACAGCTGTGAGCTGCCATGTGGGTGCTGGGAATTGAACCCAGGTCCTCTGGAAGAGCAGCCAGTGCTCTCACCAGCGGAGCCTTCTCTCCAGCCCCCTGAGCTATAGTTTTCTAAAACACCCTTTTCTTCAAACTCTAAGATGCACTCTGTCCTATCTGTGAATGAGAAACTGCAATGGGAAGGAATCTACCTCTTAGTTTTTGGTTGTGAGCCCAGCCTTTCAAGGCTGAGCCATCTCACCAGCCCACTGTACCTGTTCACCATTGCTTGATTCAACAAGATCAAGGCAGGCCCCTAGTACATAGAATTAACTATTACATCTTTTTCATTAGTGTGGCTCAAGGTGAATCCCCCTGCTTTGTAGGCGTGGTTTCTAGGTGGAGACATTCACCTGCCTCCATTTAATTTTAGACCTTCATGCAGGCCAGAGGTCCTGTTCTCTTGACCACAGGGCTTTTTCTAGTAGGAGGCCTTAGTTACTACTTTTAACTTGCTCCTTCCTAAAGCCCCTGGACTCCCTTAGCTCAGACATCCGAGCTCCCACACAGGTTTGGCATCTTTGACCTCTGGTGAGGATGAAACTGCTGAGAGTTCCAGTGACACTTCTGGCTTTTTGTCAAGAAAGCAACTGATGCCTTTTGTTTGAGGACTTTTTACCCTCAACGGTTTAGCCAGTTCTTACCTCACCCTCTC